ATATATATATATATATATATATATATATATATATATATATATATATAATTTTACAGAAAACATTCAGAAAACTGAATATAAACTGAAATTTATCATTATAATATTTGTGATTCAAAGCATAAAACTTGTCCATGATGGACGCCCAGCTTTCTCTAGTACCTAAATTGCAGCTCTGCACAATAAGCTTGGCCAGAGGAGAAATGGTCGTGCCCAACTGAGCCTGGTTTTTCTTATTTTTTTTTTTTTTCTCCCTTCACTTTCGTCAATTGGTGAAGTTTTGTTCCTTACCACTGGCTTGCTTGATTTGGACTGCCCATCGATGAATTTGCTTTACAGTTTTTGGACATTCAGCAGTGAAAATTAAACCACACTGAACTGAACTTCAACTCTGAAAACTGAGGAGTTGCTATTATTTTAATACTCAAATGCTTAATCTGTAATTAAATTCAAATAAAACAAGCAGTGGTTCCGATTTTGACCAACAACTCATTTCTGATTGGTAGGACCATACGGAATCTGCACATGCAGAATTCCGCAGATTTTCCGCAGAAATGCGCAGATTTTTAGCCCATTATTAATTCTGTTTATTTACATTTAGTAAATGTGTAAATCTGAATTTATTCAGTTTTTATTCAGTAATTTATTCTTTTTTATTTAATATATTAAGCTGGATACTCCCGAAATAATTCCACAGAAATCCACAGATTTTTACCAAAATTCTCTGCAGAAGTAGCAAAGAACGTCGTCAGATTCAGTCTGGCCCTGCTAATTGGTTAAACAAACAGCTGATGTTACAATTATATATTTAAACTCGTTTTATTCTTTTGCTTGTCTTTCCTCGACGGCCACATTGTAAAGTTGATCCATGATCCATCTGATTAATGGTCACCTTAAAAGATCCTTTCTGACTTGTTGATTCATCTTTCAATACCTGCAAGCAGAAAATGCAACATACAATAAATACACATAAAAAATAAAATAAGAAATGTGACTGTTTATGAATGTGTTTCACTTTTAATTTCATCTAAATGCTTGCGGATGGGGCAAGAAAACCAATATCCTGGTGCTATAGATCTCTACAGTAATATTGCAGGAGAAATTAACTGCCAATGATGACAACAATCTCATTTGTCTTACCAGGTCCAGATTACATAAAAAAATAGTGATGCAACATTTACCACTTTAACAGTTCTTAGAAATATAATCAAGGTGCAAGTTGCTTCATGATTAATAATGGGATCTGAATTGCTGAACTTATGTATTTTATCAGAAAAGCTCCTTTTGAGACAAATTAAGTAAACGATACCACTTTTTTTTTTTTTTTCAATAAAGCACGCATTTTTAATACATTAGTGTCAAATTGGTTTGGACTCTCTCAAATCAGATCATCAAAATGTTTTATTTTATTTATGTTTTT